TTATTTGCCTAACAGTTGAAAAAATACTATTAGAAAATCTAATCAGTATACTAAATCTTTTGTTTTAGTTATAGTATTTGTTATTTTAGTTTTAGATATATTACTTCTAGTTTAGTTTTCATAATCACAACTTTATTTTTATATTTTTGTTTTATTTTATTTTTGCCTTGTATTAATATAATACTTGTAAGTATTAGTACTAGAAAATCTTTAGAATAATTGTTATCCCCTTAATCTTTATAAATAATTTAGTCTTCACTCTCAAAACTTATTATAAATTATATTTATGATAAAACCTATCTTTCAGAGTATAATTTGTAATAATATATAAATATTTCTGTTTTGAGTCCTGAAATAAATATACTTGAATAGTAATAATTCAATTATCTTTTAAAAATACTTGAGTTATAATTATCTTGTAATTTTTCTTTGATTTTTGCCTTAATAACTTACTTTTATTTATCTTTTCTATCATAATAAATTATATTCTGATTATTTACAAGTTTTTCTTATCTGAAAAACTTAGATAATGGATGTCCTCCACTTAAAATAAATCAAGTATATTTATTTGATTAAGAAGATTCTTGTAAGCTTTCTTACATATAAAAGTTTTGTTTTATTTTAGTATATACTCTTTATTTATCTAATAGTTGAAAAAATACTATTAGAAAATTTAGTTAATATACTAAATCTTTTGTTTTAGTTATAATATTTGTTATTTGAGTTTTTGGTATCTATTCTTAGTTTAGTTTTCATGATCACAATTTTGTTTTTATAATTTTGTTTTATTTTATTTTTATTTTGTATTAATACAATATTTATAAATATTAGCACTAGAAAATCTTTAGAATAATTATTATCCCCTTAATAATTCAGTCTTCACTCTCAAAACTTATTATAAATTATATTTGTGGTAAAATTTATCTTTCAGAGTATAGTTTGTAATATTTAGTATCCTTTTTATAGATCTCATCCATTCAGAGATCCCAGTCAACTCATTTATAATATTTTTATTTATTATTTGTTTTATTATTTTAAAGATTAGCTATCCTTGAGATATCTTGTTATTTAAATAATTTATCAGTTTATAAGTATATATTACTTTTTTATTAGACTTCTAATTGATCTATATCTCAATAAATATGATAGAGAAGACTCTTGGAAATTCTTATCTTATATTGAATTATATAACTATTACTCTTATTATTTTTCTGCAAATAAAAATTCAGATAGAAGATTTGTAAATTTTTTTATCTAGACTCAAGACTATTATATGATCTTGTATAATAAACTATCACAAAAACTTTTTGATAATATAGTATAACAAAATCTTATATCTAATCAACTTTGAAGAGAAATTGTCAAGTTACTTAACATCTTCATATTTGGAATTAAAATCATAATTGAACAACAGACCTACCTAGTTAATAGTATTCTTTTTATTTTAGAAGAGACAGATAACTTTAAAACTTCCTCAACTAATCAGCTAATAGAGTTAGAATATGAAAGTAGTAATTCAGAGAATTTTGAAGAACTAATAGTTATAATCAAACAAATTTAATCTTAAAAAACTTAATCAAAAGAAGAAATAACTATATCAGATGGAATGAATAGTCTTATTCAAGCTCTTGGAGAATTGATTCAATCTATGAAAATACAAAGAATTGAAAAAATCCTTATTCCAATTTATAAATTTAAGAATAATGATCAGGATCCAATTGAATGGTTACATGACTTTAAAATAGTCACCAAAGCCAATAGAATTACCAATAATAGAAAAATCAAGATAGTAAGAGGATACCTAGAGAAACTAACTGCTATCTGATTTGACTAATAATCTATAAGTGACACTCTTAGATTAAATGAATGAATAAATGAGAATCATGATAAACATGATTTCACTTTCTAATTTATTCTTAAATTCTATTCATCTCATAAGATATAATAGTGGCAAGATAAATTAGGAATCCTTAAAACAAACTGAAATAGTAGAAGAATATATAAATTGATTTATGGAACTAGAAAGTAAAGTAGATCCAGAACAAGTTTATTCAAAAGAATATAAGATTCAAATTTTCAAGAAAGATCTCAAATTAGAAATTCAAAAATAGATTAATCTAAATGCTGAAAATATTATGAAAAGCATTATTGAAACTGCCAAAAATATGGAAGAAGCTGATTCAGATCCACTTGAACAGATCTATCATCAAACTCAAACTTAATTCACTACTGAATAGAGTGCTCTTACTAAAATTCTGCAAGATCTGATCAGTAGGTTAGACTGTATAGAATCTGATAGAAGATATAATAATAATAATAATAATAATAATAATCAGCAATAAAATTAGTCAAATAACAAATCTTCTATTATCTGTTACAGTTATGAAGGAAAAGAATATATCAGTAAAGTTTGTCTAAATAACTCTTAATCTGTAAATTAGTCATCTAATAATCAGAATATCTCTTGAAATTGGAATTATCAAAATTAGAATAATAATAGTAATAATAATAATTAGCAAAATCAGAATACCTAAAACAATAATTAGTAATCTAATAATTCACAAAATCTGGATACTACTTCTCTTTTCATCCAAATTCAGAATTTAATAGCTATTTTATAAGTATCTGATAAAGATCTATCTAGTGATTCATCTACCTAATCTAGTTTCTTACTACTGGTAACTTATGATTATCTAGCTGAAGAAAAAAAATGAGCTAGAGTTATCAAGAAAAAAGAAGAAAGTAAAAAAGAAAATGAAGTTACTCAACCTTTATCTGAAGTATTTGAAGAAGATAAAACCAATTTGAAAAAGAAGAAATGAAAGAAAAAAAGAACTCATCTTTCAATTCTAGTTAAAAAAGTAGGAACCTATGACATACTCAAAGATTTAGCATTTCAAAAAGCTAATATTACTATTATTTAACTTATCAAAACCTTATCTGAACAAAAAATTCAAATGTCAAAAGGAATGAGAAAAGAATCACAGAAAAAACTCAAATGAAAAATAATATTCATCCAGAAGATCAAAATAACTTTAGCCTGATGTGAAGCCAAAGTTAAAAAGATTCCTGTAGACTTGATCATGGATACTAGAACACTGGATGTGTTATTAATTATGAATTTCTCAAATGATTAGAAATGAAAATTCAATAAAAATCTAATATTTTTATGTCTAATATTAATGGATATTCCAAGTAACTATTAGGAGTCATTGATAACTTCTCTATTATTATTGATAGAATCATAATTCTAGCAAAAGTAAATATTACTAAAGCATAAACCTACAGTCTTGTAGTAGGTATGGACTGATTAAATAAGATCAATGCTAAAATTAATCTGAAGAAAAATATAATCATCTTTGATTAAAATAGAGAAGAAGAAAAAATATCAATTAAATTCATCCATGGACAACAAAATATTATATCAGAAGACAGTAATGAAGACTCTGAAGCATCTTCTAGTAAAATCTCTGATGATGAGTTTGAAATTGAAGATCAAGACCTAGAAGATCATCTTATAAAAAATATAATAGAATTAAAAATAATATGTTATATAAAATTTTACTCATATAACAAATATTAAATCAAAAAATATAATTGAAATATATATAAAGAATTAGTCATATTCACTTATTTTAAAAGTAAATCTGATACTAGCAAATGCAATACAGCATAAATATTCAATATTTAATCTAAATAAATATAAGATTGAATATATAAATATAAAAAGTTAAAGTATGTAAGATCTCAAATAACATGACTTATTTCTGATATGAAATTCTGATATCTAATATTAAAGAATAATTCTATTATTTGTATAAGATTCTTATATCAAGAATAAAAAATTGTATATATTTTATAATTTGTTTTAAAATGAAATATTTAACAGAATATTATGCTTTTATGCAATTTATCCAAATATTAATGATTGTAAATGAAGTGATTGGATGGATTTATAAACTTCTATCATTTCTGTAATCAGTATTATACTATAATTGCATAAAAATTACTAAGCGAGTTAGAGATGAGTTTTTGAGTTTTGTGTTATATTGATGCATTCGATATGAGATATGAATAAAATATCATTTATCTTTGATGTTTCTAATAATATAATGGAGCAAGTACTATGAGTATTCAGATAACAGAACACAGAAAAAACAAAAAATTTGACATCTGATCAAATATGATATTCACAGTATTGTTGCTAAATAGGTAAAATTGCGCGGAACAAAGTTGATCCTCATCTAATTAAATGCTCATTTCAAATATTGTGACGTTTCTAATGCATGTGATGGAACTGAAAATAATCTTATTTTTGATTATGGTTGGGTTGAACATTCTCAAGATTCTGATCAAATTCATATAATTGAAAATGAGGAGAGTGAAAATAATAATTTGGAAAATGAAAGTATTAATTTAATTTAACTCAAGGTAATTTCGATGTCAATAATTCATTATCACAAAGTTATCCGATTGATAATTTTGAAGATGGTTATTATAATATTGAAGCCATGTATTTTACAAATGTATGGAATTAGGCTTAGATATATCATTAAGATATAAAATAATATATTCGGATATATTATTAGGATAATACAAATTTTGAATTTATAATGTACCCGGATATAATCCATTTTACCAATGTCGAAACCTATAGATTAGACCTGGTCATGGGGCAATATATTATGAGGGGTATTCGAAATGGCAAATCACGGTATGTTGCATGAGCATACAGCATGATAATTTTTTTAAATCATCCAATTATTTATTTATCTTCATACAACTCACTTTCGATATAGTGAATCTCTCGTATTAATGAAGACTATTCTCTCGATAAGCTATAGCGAAGATTTTTTCCTTGCCACGATATCTTCGGTATTAAGGAATGAGTTGTGTCGGTATGTACATGTATGTATATGGTGGTCGAAAAATTTATTTTCGATCGTCACAAAATTTATCTTTCGCTTTTTCAATTAACGTTAATTGGTACTTATGATGTAATACGGATATAAAAAATAAAACTAAGCTTTTCCATACTGATGAGGTCATCTACATAAGTTAGTCAGCGTGCCAAGACTTTATGAATGACACTCATAAGAACCAAGTTTGGAAATAAAGACTTGTTCTTTAAAATATGTTGATTATTTTTAAATTTTATTATTCAGTCCCAGATATCGCACTTTTTACTGTTGCTGAAGGCGTGATTATATGGAGGGATGATCACAACAATGAAACAAGCTATATCATAGAAATTTCAATAGATATGTGAGTTAACCTTTCTCTTACTCAATTTTCTTTAACCATCTAGATTTCTTATCACAGAAAGTATATCAACAGAGTCTATAAAAGAGTAAATATTTGGGGGACAGTCAGTAAAAACCAAAAATCTTGATTTACGATAATTAGTATTTTATCTTCCGTATTTTATATGATTAATATAAAAAAAATTTTTATAATATTTCAAAATTTTATTATGTAAACTGATATTCAGTATTAATTGAAAAATGATCTTTCATTACTTTATTTGATTGGTTTTTACTGCTCCTTCTCATTTGATGGCTATAATATGTGCTTGTAGAATTTTATTTAGTTCCTTAGGCTTTCTCTGACATATATAGAAAATGATGAATGAGCTTC